CAACAAAGAAATCAGGAGCCCTGGTGGCACAGTGGGTAACTGAAGGGCTAGCGTTTCAACCCATGAGGCTCTCCACAGAAGAAAGATTAGGCGGTAAAGATTTGAAGCCTCAGAAACCCTATGGGGTTCTAATCTGCTATGAAGACCCCTGGTATATATCCCTTGTAAGACAGTGGATTATGAGTTGGGCTGCTTAACACAAGGTCAACAGTTTAAATCTGTGAGTCTCTCCACAGAAGAAAGATGAGACTTCCTACTCCCATAAAGATTTACAGACTCAGAAACCCTCTACAGGATTGCTATGAGTTGAATTGGTTTGACTGTTTAATGAGAATGGCATGGGATCAAGCCGTCTTTCATTCTGTTGTGCATGCAGAATTGCTTTGAATCAGAACTGATTGAAGAGCATCTAACAAGAAGCATGGTACCTAGTTTCTAAGGGGGAATTCCCAAGATAGCTTTTGCCTGGTTATCTTATTCGAAGGGAGAGTCTACATTTTGATAGGAGGAAATATCAAGGTGTTAAAATGTGTAGGATCATAAATATTTCTGTGAGTAATTGATGTGGCACTGTAGGATAAGCACTGGACTGGTAACTGCAAGGTCGGTGGTTCAAACTCACCAGCCACTCCACAGAAACCCTGTACAGGGTTGCTAGTAATTGAAACCGACTTGATGGCACTGAAAAACAAGTACCAAGGCTTAGAGATCTGGTGTGGCCTTGTAGAATATCCACTGGACTGTTAACCATAAGGTCAGCAGTTCAAAACCACCAGCCACTCCTCAAGCCCTATACAGGGTCTCAATGAGTTGGAACCAACTTCATTTGTTGTTAAATGCCATCAAGTCCATTCCAACCCATAGCGGCCCTGTATAGGGTTTTCAAGGAGAAGCTGGTGAGCTTGAACAACAGTTCAAATGACTTTGCAGTCACGCATTAGTCCACAGCGCCACATCAGATAGCATTTAACAGTTACCAAGTCCTCTTGTTCTGTAGGATAAGTTCAAATCCATCATCTGTTCACAGAAACCCTATATAGGGGTTACTGTGAATCGAAACTGCGTACAGCACACAACAAACACCACTGTTACCAAAGGGGTCCTGGTGATGTAATGGTTATGTGTGTGCCCGCTAAATGAAAGGTGGGTGGTTGTGGTTTGAACCGACCCAGCAGCTCCAAGGGATAAAGATCTGAAGATCTGCTTCCATAAGATTACAGTCAAGAAAATCTTATGGGGTGGTTCGTTCATTGTACTCTGTCACATGGGATTGCTATGAATCAGAATTAACTTAATTGTGCGTAGTGGTTACGAATCGGGCTGCGATCCTCAGGGACAGCAGTTTGAAACTACCAGCTGTTCTGCGGGAGAAAGATGAGGCTTTCTGCTCCCGTAAAGATTAGAAACCCAGTACAGGGTCGCTATGAGTCAGAACCGACTCCACGGCACTTAACACCCAACAATAGCAGCAATAAGTGCTGTGATGGGTGTTCACTGCATTCTTTCAGAAGATCCAATTCTTCAAAAATTGAGAGAAACTAAGTATGAAAGCAATTTGCTTGTGAGGTGTAATGAGATTTACAAATTATAAAGATGTCAGTTTAAAGACTAAGGTGCGCCTCACCCAAGCCATGGTGTTTTCAATAACCTCATATGCGTGTGAAATCTGAACAGTGACTAAGGAAGACCAAAGAAGAATTGATGCTTTTGAGTTATGGTGCTGGAGGAGAATATTGAAAGTGCCATGGGCTGCCAAAGAACCAGCAAGCAGATCTGTGTTGGAAAAAGTGCAGCCAGAGTGCTCCTTGGAGGCCAGGATGGCCAAACTTCGTCTCTCACACTTAGGACATATTGTCAGGAGGGACCAGTCACTGGAGAAGGATATCATGTTTGGTAAGGTGGAGGGTCAGAGAAAAAGAGGAAGACCCCCAGTGAAATGGATTGGCAAAGTGGCAGCATCAATGGGCTCAAGCGTGGCAATAGTAGTGAGGTTGGCCCAGGATCAGGAAGTATTTCGTTCTGTGCATAGGGTCACTATGAGTCGGTACCGACTTGATGGTGTCTAACAACAATAACAACATTTAATATAAATAAGTAACCTGTGAAGTGTGTTAAAGATAGAATAAGTAGGACATATGTGGCCTGGTGTGGAGTTGAGGATTAATGTGCTAGATTGCAGTCAGTTTGAATTGCAAAGTCTGTAGAACAAGCTCACCTCGGAAACCCTATAAGGGTGGCTAGGGGTCAGAACCGACTCGTCAACACTTAATGTGTGTTGAACATCAATTTTTAAAATAGAACACATGAGAGAGTCACAGAATTGAAAGGGTTAGAAGGGCCAAGTAAACCTTAAGTATTTCTAAGGTACAGATCGTATAACACTTGCAGATTAACAACAATATTATCCCTAAATCACCCACCCACTGGTGTCGACGTCCATTCTGGCCCTATATGTGTTCTGCCCAAGAAAGACAGGAAAAATAGCTACTCAGCAAGCTAATTGGCGAGTTACAGCAGTGACCAGGCATGCTTGCTCAAATATTTCTTCAAAAGTGTATGTTGGCTCCCAGCACCTTCTGCAACCTTCTGCTTGCTCACATTCGATTCTGGTCCTGATAACCATACTACCAGCTGTAGGAGAAACAGGACGTCAGAACACAGAACCACATAAGATTCAGATCATATGGTCCACTCCTTCCTCTTCCAACACCCCTTTCTAAGCATGTGAGCTTACTCCATCTCTCTCTTTACTTCTTGTTGGTAAGTGCTGCTGAGTCAGTTTTGACTCACAGAAACCCCCGTATAGGGTTTCCAAGGAGTGGCTGGTGAGGTTGAACCTCGGACATTGCAGTTTAAACCTACCTTGCGGTCCAGTGCTTATCCTACAGCGTCACACCAGGACTCCTTGCTTACAGTACTGTATTTGAAATGGATTCAATAAACCATGTGATTTAAACATCATCATTTGATCAGAGCCTTTCTGGGATGTGACCTCAGGGATAGACTGACTAATGGGGTGTTTGCAAATCACCAGCGCAGCAAAGCTATTTCCACTCTAATAAATACTTTACATGTAATATATTAGGAAGTCTCCACAACTTTATGAGGAAGAAATTGTTCTTATATTCACCCTACAATTGAGGAAAACTTAAGTTACAGAGAGGCTAAGTAACAGTGTTAATGAATAGGGCATTAGAATCGAAGTCCATAATGATCTGGCTGCAGGGTCACATTGTTTTTTCACTAAGGTCATTCATTTTTCTAGCTTCAATACCTAATAGAATGCCTGAAAGAGTAGGCACCTTGGATGAATTAAAGAAATGAATCCTGGTTTATTTGCCATGTGAATTACTTAACCTTGAGATTTCATTTCCTCAGAATTTGTGTGTATTATTTAAAGTTGGAGTCCTGGTGTGTCTCTGTAGGATAAACACTGGACTTCTAACTGCAAGGTCAAGGTTCAAACCCACCTTGAAACCCTTATGGCATGGTGCTGCAGGATCCGCACTGGACTGAGAACCACAAGGTCAGCAATTCAAACCCACCAGCTGCTCCTTGGAAACCCTATATAGTGTTGCTATGAGCTGAAACTGATTAGATGGCACTAACATTAACAACAAATGAGTTGGAACCCATTCGATAACACCAATTTAAAGTCAGTGTGTAAACACTTCTATTCAACACTTGCTTAGATGCCTAAGAAAGGGTAACTCTACCCACACTGGGCAGATTTTAGAAAGCCTGTGGTCATTTTCACAGTTGAAGTAACTTTTCTGTCTTGCTCTACCATACTTCAGATGATGAGCTCTCCAAACAACAGGTGCATGCTATTCAAGGCATGGCAGAGCAACCATTCACTTCAGCTTAAAGCTACTTAACACAAATCTTTTTTATTTTATTTTGTTAGATTTTTCTTTCTGCTTTAGTTATTTTTAGGTCATTCCCCTGAGAAAAGAGTATTAGCATTTCAACCAAATGATTGTCACCACCAGTAGTCATGGTTTGCTGCCATTACACCAGTGTTTCCTCTCTGCATCACGGTTGGTCACTTTTGAACTTGAAAAGAAGCTGGCTTCAGTGGCACAAAATAGACTCTGAAGTCCACTACTTCTGGCTGACAATCTTATTTATTCCAAGAAGACATTTCTTCATATGTAACATGAAGAGAATTGTGATACTACCTCACGGAGATGTCCTGAAAATAAAATGAGTTAAGGCACATATGGTGTTCAGTATAGCGATGGGCACTTTGTAAGAATTCAAGAAATGTTAACTACCGTGACTATTGCTAAGGGGTCGTGTGGCGCTGCTAAACACTGGACGGCTAACCATAAGGTCGTTGGTTCAAACCCATCAACCTCTTCTCGGAAACCCTATACAGGGTCGCCAAGAGTCTGAACTGACGGCATTTAACATAAAAACTTAGTTTGCGGAAATCCACAGAATTTTCCAAATATTCGCCCAAATTTAATTTTTTCCCTTCTCATTCTCAACCCCCTGCGACTCTACTCACACACACTTTTTAAAAATCTCAAGTACTTCTCTTTTCTTCATTAAATTTTTAATGGTGTGGCTTTCTTTTTTCACCAACAATCGACACCTGGAGAGGTGATTTGGCGTGTCTGGTGCTAGCACCTCCTCAACCCAGCTGTGGCAAGCCACAAGCCACATCAGGTGGTTGGACCTGACGCGCTCAGACGAAAGTTCTTAAGGGATTGGGTGAGAGGTGGGCCAGTCGGGAGTAGGCGGGTTTCTGAGGCGAGGCCAGGGCAGCGAGTCGGGCGGGACCGATAGGACTGGAGCACGTGGCGGGAAGGCGGTGTGAGTCGGAGTAGGCGGGGCCTTGAGGTGACGTCGGCGACTTGGACTGCCGGCTCAGGGAAAGAGGGCAGGCGGGAGACGGGGCTGGTGCCGTGAATGGGGCGGGGCCATGCGGGGTAGGCCTGGTCCTTGAAGCTGGGGGCGGGGCGGACCTTGCCAAGCTGTCGGTCGCGGAGATTCTGTCCTAATGGGAGGCTGCCTGCGCACTTGGTTCTCTTCGTTGCTGTAGCTCTGGCGGAGCCTGCGCTATGGGCGATGAGGAAAGGGCGGAAGCGGCCCGGCCCGAGCAGGATGAGGTAAGTGTCGTAGCCTCTCCCGCCTCCCAGCCACGCCTAGTCTTTAGGTTACGAGTTGCAGCGCGGACTTGCAGGATCGCGGTGGGAAATCCTCCTTATAGGCATCAGAAAGCCTGCGCAGGCCTGGCCTCAGCCTGCAGAAAGCCTGTGCAGGCCCGGCCTCAGCCTGCTGTCAGTGTCGGAAGCGCCCGAGACCGTCCCTGGGGAGAGGTGACGAGGGAGCCGGGTTTCCGCCCCGTTGCTCCGTTCTGGGGCCAGTCAAGGGCAACGCTCTGAGGTCCGGTCCGGGGTGTGAGGGGCACCTCCTTCCCTCTCCTCCTTTCTGGAGCTTTAACGGAGGCAAGGACGCTTGCGGAAATTGAGACCAGTGGATGGGGTAGAGAAGACAGGTTTTTGTAACAGTGAACCAATTAGACTACTGAACTATCTGGATCTTTGGGGTCTCACGTTCATCGTGTATGCAGTGAAAGTGATACCTCCTTGACAGAAGTTTAAATAAAATGTTGTATGCGTCGTGCCACGGAAGTTGTCATTGTTAGGTGCCTTCGAGTCAGTTTCGTGTGTAACACAACAAAACAGTGCGCGTTCCAGCGCCACCCTGATCCCATTGTTGTAGCTACTGTGTTCATCTATCTCGTTGAGGGTCTTTCTTCTTTTTCCACCCGTACTTCTTCCAAAACACACTTTTTTTTTTTTTTTTTTTCTGGCAGTTCAATATATTCCATATTCTTCACCAGCACCATAATTCACAGGCATTATTTCTTCCTTATTCGTTGTACAGCTTTTGTATGCATGGGAACAATTGAAAATACTATGACTTGGATCGCTTAGTCCTCAAAGTGACATCTTTCTTTTTCAACACTTTAAATGAGATCATCTGCAGCAGGTTTGCTTAGTGTAATAAGTTACTTGTTTTTTGACTGTGGCTTCCATGGACATTGATTATGGATCCAAAGAAATCCTTTACAACTTGATCTTTTTTTCCATTTTTCATGTTTATTAGTCCAGCTGTGAGGATTTTTGTTTTCTTTTATGTTGAGGTGTAATTCTTACTGAAGGCTGTAGTCTTTGATCTTCATCAATAAGTGCTTTAAGTCTTCTCATTTAGTAAACTAATGTCATTTGCGTATTGTAGGTTGTTAATGAGTCTTTCTCTAATCCTGATGTCATGTTCTTCACATAGTCCAGTTTCTTGGATTATTTGCTCAGTGTATGGGTTGAATAATTATGGTGAAAGGATACAACCCTGACACCCACCTTTGCTGATTTTAAGCCATTCAGTGTCCCCTTGTTTTGTTTGAATGACTACCTCTTGAATTATGTACAAGTTCTGCATGAACATAGTTTAGTGTTCTGGAATTTCCATTTTTCACAATGTTATTCATAATGTGTTATGATCCACACAGTGGAATGCCTTTGCATAGTCAAAACAATCTAAGTTAACCTGTTCATCTCCTTCTATGGTAGTTGTTGTTATGTGCCTTCGAGTTGGTTCTGACTCATAGCTACCCTGTATAAGGTTTCCAAGGAGCAACTGGTGAGTATCATAGTGGAGGTGGTGGTTATGTGCTGTGGAGTTGGTTCCGACTCATAGCGACCTTGTAAAGGCGTTTTGAGGCTGTAAACCTTTATAGGAGCAAGAAAGCCTCATCTTTCTCCCACAGAATCATTGGTAGTTTCAAACTGCTGATCATGAGATTAACAACTGACTCATAACCACTACACTACCAGAGCTCCTTTGAGTATAATAGTTGTTATTGTTTTTAAGTGCCATCCAGTCAGTTCTGACCCATAGCAACCCTGAATAGAGTTACTGAGGAGCAGCTAATGAGCTTGAACAACCAACCTTGCGGTTCAAACTGATTTTGTAGTCTGGCGCATTAACCCAAAGCGCCACACCAGGACTCCAAGTATGATAGTTGTTGTTGTTGTTGCCACCGAGTTGGTTCCAACCCATAGCGACCCTGTATAGGGTTTCCGAGGAGCAGCTGGTGAGCTCGAACCACTGACCTTGCAGTTGAAACGGCTTTGCAGTCTGGCGCATTAACCCACAGCGCCACACCAGTATAATAGTAGAGGTACCTAAATGATAATAAATTGAGATTTATTGGACTGCAGGATTGAAAGTGGATAGTTTTAAATAGCTCTTCTATGCTTTTCATACTTGTTATTTTGCAAATACCTCTAAACCGTTTATATACAAAGGAACAAATTTGGTACTTCTTTGGTCTTGTTGTTGTTGTTAAGTACCGTGGAGTTGGTTCCAACTCATAGTGACCCTGTACAGGTTTCTGAGGCTGTAAATCTTTATTAGAGCAGAAAGCCTCCTCTTTCTCCAGCGGAACTGCTGGTAGTTTTGAACTGCAATCTTGGTCATTTTACTGTTTATAATTTAATATTGTGAACATTTGGAGGGAAAATAAGAGATTGAGCTCACAGAGACACAGGGTAGTGCAGGGGGTTCCTGCCCTCCGCGGGGGTCGTGGGAATATGCGGAAACATCAGGTGAAGAAATGAATGAATACAATGGAAAGGCTTTTCAACTTGCTGTGCTGTCCGGCTATGCTCTCAGCTTCTGCTACCTCTGCTTTTGATTTCTGCTCTTTGCTGTCTGTTCTCTCTGCTCTCTGCTGTCTGCCCTCTGCCTTCTCCCTCCTGCTCTCTGCTTCTTCCCCCTAGCTCTGCCAGTTCCTTCAACTTGTTGTGCTGTCTGGCTGTTCTCTCCAGCCTCTGCCTTCTGCTTCTACCTCCTCCTGCCGCTTCTGCCAGCCCAGCTCAGCAAGTCTTTATTTTTTATACTTAAAACTACACAGCACATAATGAACTAACACTTTGATCTTTTCTTGAATTATTACATAGTTAATCACAACATTCTTGCACCTGGTCATTAGACAACTTTGACAAAATATTTCTGTGATGTTCAACTGACCTTCATCTCTTTCTTCAACATGTGATAAACGGTTTCTTCTTGTGTTCACTTAAAGATTAAGTCAAACCTTACACAAACCATTGCTACTTATCAGATTACTGACTACACTTTCTTAGTAACATAAGTTTCTACTAATCATTAATGCTTGCACTACCTCATTATTCCTACTGACTTGTTATCAACTTTCTATCCTACATAATGTATTATTATTTTTATAATAAAGGTATAACTAACATCTGCTTATTTATTTTTCTAAAGTAGTCATTAAATTGCTTGGAAGTTATATGACATAAAGCCCAACTTGGCTAATTGCTACAGGAAGTATAGATTATTGAATCAAAACTATCTTTCACTTAAGTTCATTATTTTCTGCTTATTTACGCAGGTGCTTGTATGTAGGGGTTTTTGAATTCTAGCTACTGACTAATTGTGGTGAGGTCTATGGGGGTAGGTCAGCTTGACTCTAATATGCTATCTGTTTTTGTGGCCTCACAAATGCAGTTACTTAGGTTTTCTAAGGAAAGGGAGTAATTTACATAGTTTCTCTTTGTATTCAATCCACCAAGGCTGAAAGCAATTGCTGCTAAGCTAGGTTTGTAGAACTCATAGTGAAAGCTGAGAATATTACCATATTATATCTATTTTTGCAAGTAAATTCAGGGCTAACTTGAAGGGAAGATAGGGGTCAGCTTTTGAGAATCATATGCTGCATAATGTCTCTCCCCCAGTGCGACCTTGCCAAGCACTGAGAGTTAAGCGCTTCCCGCAGGTTAGGCCTACATTTCTTTAGGAAGGTTGTAGATTCCACGTTTGAGGTTTGATTTTATTTTGATTTTGTAAGCATTTAGCAACTCATATGAAAATTTGAAATATTCCTCAAACTTTTCTTTCTCCTTTGGAACAAGTATGGTGTTGGTGGTGGTGATGTGCCTTGGAGTTGGTTCAGACTCAGCGACCCTGTACAGGGTTTCTGAGGCTGTAAATCTTTACGGGAGTAGAAAGCCTCATCTTTTTCCTGCGGAGCAGCTGGTAGTTTTGAACTGCTGACCTTGAGGTATGCAGCCCGCTTTGTAACCACTACGCTACCAGAGCTCCTTTGGAACAAGTATGCTTAGTGCCAATTTTCCTATTCTAATCAGACAAATCAGACTTTTCTGTTTATACTAACTACACCAATTGTCATTCAGGTTTACAATCTGCAAATTATGTTTATTCCCTCTACGAATGGAGTCCTGGTGTGGCGCTGTGGGCTAATACATCAGACTGCAAAGTCGTTTGAACTGCAAGATCTGTAGTTCAAGCTCACCAGCTGCTCCTTGGAAACCCTCTACAGGTTCGCTATTGGTTGGAATCGACTCAACGGCACTTAACAACAACAAACCTCAATGATACATTAACCAGAAGAGAATACACATGAAGAAAGTCCATGTGGAAACTGCACAGAAAAAAATCCACTGTCATAGATGCACAAAAAAATATGTACACGCAAAAATGAACATGGAATAATACCCACACAGAAAAATATATACATAGGGAAATTCTTTAAAAGGTAGGGTTTGGGTTTGAACTCAAGTTTATTATAGTATTGTGAATATGAAAAGTTTTCTGTGTGTATATATCTGTAAGCGCATTTTTCCGTGCAGACACCATTCCACGTACACATATTTCCACGTGTGCATTTCTCACTTGTCATTCAGGTTTACTATCTAGAAGTTGTATTTATTACCCCTACCTCAGTGATGCTGTAGCCAGGAAAAAATGCACACAATGCAAGTGCACATGAAAATCATGCACAGTCAAAGGCCTACTGAAAGAAGCTTACTGCAAAAGATGTACATCGGAAAATGCCCTTGCAGAAAAATGTCCACACAGAATAATATGCACATAGAAAAATTCTCATATTCACAGTATTATAAAGTAAGAAACTGGAAACCAATTCCTACTTTTTATATGAGAATTTTTCTCATATAAATATTTTTGTGTGTGTAGGCATTTTCCATTGTGGGTATTTTTCCCTGTGTGCTTTTTCTCTTGTGTATATTTATGCCAATAGTGGTTTTTTTTACTGTGT